ACCCTGGGGTTCGTCACTCACTCGAACTCGATCGATAGTGCCGATCGCCACTATCGCCGCCCCCGCCCCGATGCAACTGCCGTGGGAGGGAGGCACACACTTTTGCTCGAGCCCAAGCGCCGGCGCTGCACACACGCGTGTCAAACAGTTCAACACACAGAATCTACACACTACGACTGGTGCCCCTTCCTCTTTGTTTCACTACTGCTCCTCCATATCGCTTCTCGCGGTATCTCGCTGGGGAATCCCACCAACCATCTGGGCGTGAGTGGTTTACCGCATTTCCTGATCTGTCTTCCCCCTTACCATTCGGGGAGGCGTTACCCTTCTCCCTGTTTGCCCACTCTCCCGAGGTCTGGAGGGGAGGGGCCACGAGGTGTCACAGGGTCTTTCTCGGCTTCGATGAGGAAGCCACACTCATTTATGTAACTCAGGTTTTGGCTATAGTTTAAGTTGACCGCCTGGGTTGGGGGGACCTTCATTAAGGAGCCCCCCTCCTTTGATCGATCTCCTCCAAGATGGCCATCGTTGCACCCAATGGTGTCCCACGACAGTGCCAAGAAGCCCCCATTAGATTCCCAAGAGGCCCCACATGCCACCCAGAGGCACCCAAGATGCCCCAAGAGGCCTCGGCGAGAAAACCAACAACATTCATGCTACTACGGTTTTGGCCACATTTTGACCTCCTGGGGGGGTGCTAATCCCACCAGCCCTCTGGGCGTGACGGGTTCAGCGCGTTTCCTTTTCCAACCCGCCAGGTCGGAGAGGGGTTTGGGGTTTGGAGGGGGGTGGGGGCGGCGAGAGGTTAGAGCGTCCAGAGCGGCCTCTGCGAGAACGCGCAAATCACGGATTTCGCTAAAATGTTGGCCACATCTTGGCCTCTGGGGGGCACTAGTTGACTACGGTCCCTCCTTTGATCGATCTCATCCAAGGTGGCCACCAAAGGGACCCCGAGGCACCCAAGAGTGCCCCAAGAGGCGCCCAGGAGGCCCCCAGGGGCCGCCAAGATGCCTCCAAGAGGCCCCAAAGCGACTCCCAATACACCCCCGAAATGCTCCCCCGAGGCACCAACGACGCTTCACGAGACCCCCCTAAGAGGCTCTAAGAGGGACATACGAAGAAACTCCGAGAGGCATCCAAGAGGCCTGTGGCCTTACTGCTCGCCCTCCTCCTCCTCCTCCTCCTCCACCTCCTCCTCCCCCTCCTCCCCCTCCTCCCCCTCGTCCTCTCCTCCTCCTCCCTCCTCCTCCTCCTCCTCCTCTCCTCCGCCTCCTCTTGCTTATCCGCCTCATCCTCCTTCTCCCTTCTCCCTCCTTCCTCCTCCCCTCCCTCTCCCCCCCCGTTTTGACGTTGCTCGGACTTTTAATGAACTAGCACGCAGCGTTCTAGATCACCCCCTCCTCCTCCTCCTCTTCCTCCTTCTCCTCCTCCTCTTCCTCCTCCTCCTCCTCCTCCTCCTGAGGTGGCCGCTTGGGCTCCCTTGCGCGCGGGCGCGCGCTCGGGCGCCTCCTCAGGCCCCCACTGCCAGGTGCCCGATGGGCGGGCCCTGGTGAACATACATGCCGACGTGTGTCGCCTGCTTGGCTGTGCGACCTCTTCCTCGGCATCACGAAGGCGGGCGCGGGCGCGTCGTGTGGCGGTATGCCATGCCCAGACAGCTGCTTGCGGCACACGTTGCCTGTTGCAGCCGCTCTTCGACAGCCTTGCGGGCGAGGTGACAGCCGCCGAGGGCGCAGTGCTGGTTGGCCAAGTCATCGATGCCTACCGCGCTGCCGAGGGCGTTGCAGGCCGCACGCCCCTGCGCAGCCAGGTGACCCCGTACCTTCCCCCCCGTGCCGATGCTGGTGGTCAGGCCGCTGCTAGCACCGAGGCTGTGGTTGCTGCTTCTTCCTGGAGTGCTACATGCTCGACTGGTTCCTGCAGCCCCTTCCCTGCGAAGGCCGAGGCTGCCTTGGCGCGTGTCCCTTGGCCATCCGCGGATGCCGATGGAGGCTGAGGCGGCGCTGGCCCTGGTGACCACATGCGGTGGAATCGCTGGAGGGGGGACGGCGCCGAGTTCTTCGCTTTCGGCCTGTGCATTTCTCGCCTCTGGGAGCGGGTATACGAGATCGGCGAGCGGTACCTTGTCTTCTCCTTCGCCTTATTCTTCTAGTGCAGCCGATGCTCGTACCGCGGACGGTTGGGAAGAAGCCGCTGGTGGTGTGCCTTGCGCTCCTGACCTACGTGGTGCTCCAGCTGATGGTGGAGTCCGCGGTGCTGGCGCAGTCCGTGCTGAAGCAGATGGGGTTCTTTCTCGTTCTCGCTCGCAGGGAGGCTTTCGCGTCGCTGACCATGCCGAGGGTGATCATCTACTCGTGGATGGTGTTCCTCGCGACGATGATGCTGGTGCTGCGCCAGAGGCCATCGCGCCCCTGATCGTGCCGAAGGTGGTCGTCTACACGCCGGTAGTGTGCCTCGCGACGCAGCCTTCGGTGCCGGCGCGCGCCCGCGAGCTCGGTCGAGGTGACACCGATGTGATCGATGGCACGGAACACGGTCTGATCGTTCTCTCGGCCGCGGTGCTTCCATTCACGAGCGGTGACGATGACGTGCACTCGGAGGGCGCGTTCCTCCTGGACCGTGCCGAAGCTTTCCAGGACCTCCCGAGGCGCTACGTGCAGCTTGCGTCCCAAGTATCCCGTCTGAGGGCGCTGGCCGAAGCGAGCGAGCGTGGAGGTGAGAGCCTTGGGGCGCCTTCTCCCTCCTCCTCTTCCTGCCTGCCTGCCCCCGCCGCCGCCGCGCTCCCTGGCTCGGAGCCGTGGGAGGGGGAGCGGGGCCTCGCTGCCGACCCCTGCCTCCGCGGGGGCAAGGGCTCGTGCACGCCGCCGAGGGGCGCGCTGCCGAGTCGGGAAGACGTGAGGGGCAGCGAGAGGGGCCTGTCCGCCGACCCCCGCTCCGGCTGGGGCGGTGGTGAGCGGGGAGGGGAGGAGTCGGGCGTGCCGCCTGGCTGTGATCTCGCCTCTTCCTCCTTCTCCTCGTCCGCCGGCTTTCTTCGCCGTGCCGGTGGCCTCGTGCGCAAACGGGCAGCCACAGGAGATCGCTGTTGAATCCTGGGAGCTCCTTCGCAACTGTGATATCGTTTGCGCGCTGTGCGAGCGAGGAGCTCGGTGCAAGTTACACTTCCCGGAGTCGGGCGGCGACGGCTCTGACCTTGACCTGCCTCCTCCTCGGCCTGCCCTCCGCAGGACAAAGTCCAGCGGCGATTATGCCAGGGCTGTTTTTCCTCAGGAGCTGTCGCTGCAGCTCCTTCGCCACCCTTCGGCGTCCTGCGCATTTCAGCCTCGCATCTTTTCTTCTCGTGCGTAGTGCTCGAACGTGCATTTCTCGCCTGGCCGCCCGCTCGATGCTGGTCGTGCGCGCCGCCTGGCTCTCTTCCTTGTCGAGTTGCGCGTGCTATTCTTTTCCATTCGTCTCACCTTTTCCCGTGTCCTCTCTCGGCGCACTCGTTCATGTTGGTAGTGCTTCTCCCTTTCCTCTCATTGTAGCTAATAACTCCCTGTCGCACCCAGAGGCGCGTCGGTAGGGTGGGTCGGACGTTTCGCCTGAGACTTCCTCACCATTTACGAACCTGCAGCAGCTTCGAATTCGCCACACTTTCACGAATAGATGGCGGGCTGCCTTCAAAATGTGAGTCTCGCCTTAACGCCGCCCACATTCGTTGTAAGAGTTAACCGCCAATTCAAGGGTTTCCTCGACGTCCCAGAATTGTTTTTGTGGCACGATGTCTGAAATTCAGGGCCACCAGTTACCTTGATTCGCGGTGTTGCACTCCCAGGAACGGTGTTCTGGCACGATTCAGGATCGTCGATTCGCATCAGTGACGGTGATTCGAGGCGTTGAACTCCCAAGAATGTTCTGGCAGAGATCTGGATTCCCAAGCAGTTGTCTTCCAATGGGGCTCTTCCCTCAGTGAAAATACACCCTTGCAGGGGCCTATGAACAGGGAGCTTAAAGGGAGGGTTTATTGCAATATCCTTGGTGAGTCTTGGGTTTACTCGGGTCCTCCTCCTCATCCTCCTTCCCCCTCCTTCTTCCTCCTCCTCTTCCTCTTTCTCCTCCTCCTCCTCCTCATCCTCCTCCTCCTCCTCCCCCCTTCTTCTTCCTCCTTCTCCTCCTCAACCTCCTCCTCCTCCTCCGCTGGTTTCTTCTCTTCTGGTTCCTCCTCCTCTGGTTCCTTCTCCTCTGGTTCCTCCTCCACTGGCTCCTCCTCCTCTGGTTCCTCCTCCTCTGGTTCCTCCTCATCTGGCTCCTCCTCCTCGTCCTCTGGTTCCTCCTCCATCCTCCCCCTCTTGGGGTGTGACGGCTTCCCGACCCCCGATCTTCATCCCCTGCGTGCTCTCTCCCACACACCTGATCAGGGCAACTCGCCTGGGCACCGTTTCCGAATGGGCTGATGGAGCTACTTTTTTAGTCAGCGGCCGCGGGCGAGCGCGCCAGCGGCGAGTCAGGTCCGAGCGGGCTACGCAGAGACTAATTAGGCAGAGGCGACGCGCAAGGCAACAACTACGCGCCGGCCCAACGGCAGGTGGATGGCTGGAGGGACTGAAACTGAGTGGAACTGCCAGCGTGCAAAAATGCAAGTCCGTCGGAGGCGCCAAAAGTCGGAAGATAAACGACGGCCAGGGACAACTCCGAGAGAGAATGCATGATACCGAACCTCAAGCGACTGCGTGGGCACCAGGGTGGCCGTGGCCAACGAACCGCCAGTCAAGGTAGGAAAGAGAAATGCAAAGGCGAGGCCCCGGACGTCGGCGTGAGCGCGAGAACCAGGGTGGTCCGAAGGACTGTCGGCCAAAGAATTGACGCCAGGAGGCGAGTGCATTAGCAGGCTGCAACCCCCAAGGTGGCGGAAGCCGACAGACCCCGAGGCAGCAATACGCACGCGTGCAACTGATGGGGCTACGCGGAGCGTCTGAAATACTTTCTGGAAACGCACTTGGAGATACGCGAAACTTCAACACCTTATGATCCGGAACACGCCTGCCTCGTTTGTGTCGTGCTCCAGGCGTGCAGGTTCGTTTTGTTGGAACTGTCGAAGTATGCGCCCTCGTGCATGCATGCATTCGCACCAGCTGACGCTGAACATCATTTTCGGGTGGTTGCTGAATTACTGACGCAAGCCGTCACCGTCGAGTTCTGCCTCCCATGGGAACGGCTCTGTCCTTCTTGGCGGGGCAGGCTGTGACAGCGGCAAGCGTTCAGCCTGAAAAGCATGCAAGGAGAGAGGCGGGGGGATGCGGGCACCTCTGGCAAACGAAGCACTCGCGGTGGAACGCCTCGCCCTCAGGGCTCAGCAGGAAGTCGCCTCCCGTCGTCCATCCACAAGCAAAGTGTGCTGGCCTCGGTCCCCACAGCGTCGTCCGAAAACTCAGAGGGCCCTGGCTCCGTTGCTTTCTCGCCCCCCTTTCTCGAGACACGAGCGTTCACTAGTCTCGGTGCCAGGGATGCAGCAACACACATCAAACCGAACTTTATGACATAGAAGGTTTTCGGCCACGGCTAAATCTGTGTCTCACCCCGCAATATTGCCAGAAACGAGAATAGCAAGGGAGGACGGTGATGCACAGCAGCGCGGAGAAGAGGCAAGGTCGTGGTAGGAAGTCGAAAGAACAACGCAGTCTCAACACCAAACCTCCTTTCCTCCAATCTTCTCATTCTCTACCACGAAGGATGGGGTCAGAGCGGTCCCCACGAGACGAAAGAGCGCCGATGATCACAACTATTTCTCCGCGCGTGGCGCCGCGCGCGCCCGTCTGCCCCACCCGTTTGCTGGATTTGCGAACACGCGACTGGCACCGAAGCCCTGGCAGCACCGGCATTGACCTCCCCTGGGTGGTCTGGCTCTTCTTCTGCCCACTTCCCCGCCGAACTTCCGATGGCCTCCGCGGGAAGATCCATCTCGCTGTACTTCTGATCGTTTCGTTGGAGCCCTCCGCAAGCTTCCGCCAGGGGGAACGAGGTGACCCCTTCAGTTGAGAAGGTATTTTCTGGAATTGCCTGCATGGCTTCAGGAGCAGTGGCCCCGCCCAGGGCAAGCCTCGAACGACCTGATGGTGGACCCCAGGACGAGGCGGGATCCCAGTGCCCATGGTGCTTATCAGCTCGTCGACGTGCCGCTGCCGCTGAAGGGCCCGGGCCGCGCCTCCAAGCGTCCTGGCTGAGCCCCCGATCTCCAGAACACGGCCGAAGCTCGCGCTTTGCTTCCTGGGATCCCGCTCTCTTGACGGCTCCCGCCCAGCGTCCTTCGGCGCTTCCAAGGGAAAGAAGGCATGCCTGGCTACTTGTCTGCCTCTGCTTGCATGACCCCCCTTCCCTCGCCTGTCCACTCTCCCTCCCTTCCCAGCGCCTTCGTTGACGACCTACCTCTCCAGATTACCGATATGACGTTTTCCTTCATCGCGTCGGTCTTGCATCTCTCGGCCTCATCCCTGGGGAACTTATCGTCGTGCATTGTTTCGGATGGTAGTGAAGCCCGAACCTGGCTCCTGGACTCGAATACCGCTGGACAATTCCATCAACCCACTGGGCGTAGATGGTACAACGACTCTGTTCGTCTCTCTCTCTCTCTAAGCCCCTTCTTCTTCTGTATTCGGTAAGTATCCCACTGCTCCTTGTAAATCAACGCCTCCTCCCCATTTGGACCGGCGGCAGACCACAAACCATGCCGAGCACCCCACCACCCTAGTCCAAAAGCACTGTAACGTGCGCTTTGCGTCCGAATCTTGGACCATATGCGGGCCCCGCGATCACTTACGCGTGCTTGAAAATAGGGACTGCGGGGGTGCCAGCATGTTGTCCAAACCACTACATCATGCTGCTGACCCCTTCGTGTTGGCTTTGACCAGGCTGGTGCGGTGTGGGGATCGACATGTCTCCCGATGTGTGTGTGTGTGTGTGTGTGTGCGGTCAAGTGTATTGGCACACCTGGCACTGAGACTCGGCTGGTACTTATGTGGTGGGAGGGGGCGGGTGGGAGTGAGCAAGACAACTTTCGACCATCTTTCGGGGTAGCTCAGCCCCTCCCCTACCCTGGGGTGTGTGGGCGTGTCAGATGGCCCTTTCGGGCGCAAGGTGGCTCCCAGATGGTCCCAGACGCCACCGTATAGCCTCCAAGATGGCTCAAAATAGCAGGACATGGTTCATGGCAGCCTCCGACATACTTCTGAAATGCCCCGAAACGGCCACATGACTGCTCCAAGTGCCCTCGGAGCCCCCAACCCCCCAAAGAGGCCCAACTCGTCCCAAACCTAAAGGAAGCCAGTGCTTTTTTCTTTCTCGACTCCGATGGGCCTTTGAGGCATCATGCTGGTCCCAAGATGGCACCAGAGAGAGAGAGAGAGAGACAGAGATAGCCCCAAGAGGCCCCAGAGAGCCCCAAGAGGAGGAGCCCGAGAGGGCCCAAGGAGGCTCCCAAGAGGTCATCACGAGCGCTCCAAGAAACAATTCTCTGGCTTCCGAGGGCGGGGGGCCCGTATTGGACCCGTCACCATTTTGAGCCAACAGGGCTTCGGGCCGCGCCAAGAGGGCTCCAAAAACCTCGGGCTCCAAGTCAGGGCTGGACCTAAACAGTGTTTTTCACTTTCGTTTGGTTTTCGTTTTTTCTCGTTTTGTCTTGAATTCGCCTTTGCTGCAAAACGACATCGAAACGAAAACGAAAACGGCCCACGACAACGCCAAAACACCGTCTAGGTCCACCCCTGCTCCAAATAAGCCGTAAGGCGTTCCACACACAGCCCAAATCGAGCCCCAGCGGGGCTCCAAGGACAGTCACACAAGGACCCCCAAACGGCCCCAAGAACATCCCAAGAAAGCCCCAACATTCCTGCAAGAGGCTCTTACAACAAGGGATCCAAACAAGCTTTTGAATGATTTTCGCATTCCCGCCATTTCAAGGGGTTCTGAATCTGGAGACGGCCCGAGAATCCTTCATATTGGCCCAAGACGGCCGAAGAGGCCCCCCGGAGGGCCCAGACATGGCCCAAGAGGGCCCCAAGACTGCCCAATAAGCTCCAAGACGGCCAACAAAGGCATCAAGAGCGGCCCAAGAGGGACCAGGGAGGACCAAGAGGGGGAACTCGTAAGGGCCCTGTGAGCCGTCCCCCGCAATGTGGCCCCCAAGATGCCCAACGTGCCCCAGGAGATGCCCCCAAGAAGCCATCAAAGGACCCCCAAACCACCCAGGAGCCCTGAGCAGGCTCCAGGGAAGCCGTTCTCAAGGCCAGAAGCCCCGCAACTGACGCGGAGGAAGAAGGGGACAAACCATAAACAGCTACACGCATGCAACACGATGGGATGCGGCAAACAAAGCCTGCGAAATCGGAAACCGCACACATCCTCTTCTGGGGGTCGTCGGAATGACGTGAGCACCTTGAAAAAGCACTATTGAACCCCATGTTACATTGCCGAAGCTGATTTTTTTCTGAGGGCGCAGCAGAGGAGGCGGGACGAGGACGAGGTTAGAAATACGTGCACTGATCGTGAAGAAGACCCAACACAAGAGGTTGGGGGAATTAATACGCTCACAACATAACTTCGCGCATTGTTCGTAACGCTTCTGCATGTGTGGAGGACAACACCATTTCGAACCGCTGCGGTCGAATCTGAAGCTCCTATCGTTGATGTGCGTCTGGAAAGCAAGCCCAGAGGGCTCTCACCTTTCCAGCGGGAGCTCGTCGTGGTGAAAAGACCGCCGCGCTGACTTACGAGGAACAGACTTGGGATGACAAATTACGGTCGCGGACTTTTGCTCAGCCTGTCGCGGCGGGAGGCCAAGAACAAATCGGGGCATTCACGCCTTGTGACCGGGACGTGGACAACATGTCGCGCTGGAGCGTGGCTGGCCAAAACTGGCGGAGCGACCGCGCCAACCAAACGATCCCGACCGTACACTGCAACATCAGTGGTTCGCGCTGGAGGAAGGGCGGGACTCCTCGCCGGGCCCCCCGCGGCGAGACTCCCCGGAGTCCTTTGGGCCCCCCCAGTCGTCAGACTGCCCACGGCCCGTGCATACCTCCTCCCCTCACCATTGCAGCCCTCGTGCTGCCATAGAGAGCGCCGAGAAAGGAACGACGGGGGCTCACCTGGCCACGGCGGGCCTGGACGACGCAGCATACCCCCCCCAGCCTCGGAGCTGAGCAGAGGCCCCCCAAACTGGAGCCCACCTCCTGAGGGCCAAAATGGTCCCAGACATGCGGTGTCTTGTTTTTTTCAATACGGGGTCCCCTGAAGCTCGGACCCCTTCCCTAGGGCAAGTCGTTTTTCCACCGTATCACATGGGGTTATTGTTTTCCCCCGTATCTTAAGATGAGGTTCTTGTTATTACTTAGACGGCTCCGAGAACAAATCGACCCTCCTCCTCCTCATCATCTCCTCCTTTTCCTCCTCTTCCTCAACCAAAGTGGCTCCCTCACAATACGACTCCTTCATACTCAGTCTCACTCACAGTCAAAGTCACGCACACTCAGACTCACTCATACTCTGACTCTCTAATTCTCAGACTCATTCGCAATCATAATCACTCACACTCAGACTCACTCATACGGGGGATCAGCGGACTCAGACTCACTCGCACTCAGATTCACCCACATTTAGACTTACTCACTCTCGGACTCAATCGCAGCCAGACTAACTCATACCCATACTTTATCTCCTACTCAGACTTAAACTCACTCATAGTCATTGGTGGTCCAACGCGCATCGCGATACAACAGGCGTCGTACATGGGCCCCCCAAGGGAGGGGCGCCAGGGGTGGGGACTCTCCAGGTTTCGTGCCCAGATTGTGGGGATGTCTCGAGCGGCTTGCCTGTTTCAGTGGCCAGCATCCTTTGTGGTGAGCGGATTCTGAGGATGCCTCAGGCGAGGCGCTGGTTTCAACATCCCGAAAAAAAAAGGGCCGCCAAGGGAGGGGACGCTCCAGCATTCGCGCCCATGTGATGGGGATGCCTTAGGCGGCTAGCCTGACTGCATGCCCAACATCCTCTGCAATCGGAGCAGATCTGGGGATGTCTCGGGCGAGGCACTGGTTTCAACCCTCCTAATCCGGGCGTTAAGGGTGGGGACGCTCCAGAATTCGCACCCAATTTGTGGTGATGTCTCAGGCGACTTGCCTATCTCGGGCCGCAATATCATCTGCTTTCGGAACGGCTTCTGAACATGTCTCAGGCGAAGCGCTTATTGCAACACTCGTAAACGGGGTGGCGCCAGGGGTGGAGACACTCCACGATTCTTGCCCAACTTGTGGGGGTGTCTCAAGCGGTTGGCCTGTTTCGCACCGTGCCATTCTGTGCTTTCGAATCAAATTGTGCGGATGTCTCAAGCGAGGCGCTTGTTCCAACACTCCTAATGGGGGCCCGTCAGGGGAGGGGACATTCCAAGATTCGCGGTCAGATAGGGGGGATGTCTAAAAAGGCGTGCCTATTTCTGCCCCCCCCCCCATTCTTGATTTCTGTGGCCCAGCCAATGATCGCCGTGCTATAGCAGGCGTGACGTTCGGGCACCCCAAGGCGGAGCCACCAGGGGTGGGGTCACTTCAGGGTTCGCGCTCAGATCGTGTGGATGTCTCAGGCAGTTCGCCTGTTGCTGCCATCCCACCAATTTTTGCTTAGACTTGTGTGCCCCTTACCCATTCACTCACTCACCACTCTCCTTTTTTTCCTCATTCGGACGCACGCATCCGCACTCGGACGTGCTCACCAACACCTCGTCCTCACTTGAATTCACTCATCACATTCCGACTTGCTCATTCTCAGATGTGACCGTACTTAGACTCACGCATACTTGTTCGCTCATACTCGGACTCGTTCAAACTCAGACTCACCCACACCCACACTAACTCACACACACATACCCACTCTCACTCAGACCCTGCAGCCCTCAGACTCACTCATACTCAAACTGCCCCGTACCCAAGTTCATGCATACCCCGAGTTGTACTCATGCCGCTCAAAGTCGGACACATGCACAGTCATATCCACTTACGCTCAGACCTACTCGCGCGTAGACTAGCTCGCACAGGGGATCACTCATACTCATACTCCCTCGTATTCGCACTATCTCCAGACTCACCCACACTCAGGCTCAATCGTATCCGGGTCCGTTCACACTCCACACTCAAATCGCCCACGCTCATACTCACTTGAACTAAGGCTCACGCGCACACGCATGGCTACCGCGAAATTGCCAGCGTGGCACTTGGGCACCCCAAGGGCCACCAGGCGCCGTGAGTAGCACGCCAGAGAACAGGCGTAGCAATGCAATGCGCGCTTGCCTGAACTGCCGTGGGGATAACGGCAAGAGGAAATCCATTTCGTTCCTCCACTTGTGCTTTCCTCGTTTCTCCTGGAAGATGCCACGGCGAGGAGGAGGAGGAGGACGTTACTGAAGTCGTCGCTGTCGTCGTCGTCGTCGTCGTTGCCAAGCCAGGCCAAATCTGTCGTCTACGCGGACTCGCTCTCACGGTCACATACCATTAGACATAACCCCTCCTACGAAACGCGATAGGTGGATACGTTACACATATGCGGATCTCCGCGGAGTAATTCCTTCGCTTCCAGACCTCCGCCTTTTCCTTTTTTCCTTGTCTTCACTCTCATATCACTCATATTCTTGTATTCACCACTCACACCCACCACGGGGTCCATCAACTGCCCACTGTTCTTCACGGGACCCATCACAGACCCACTCTTCCTCACGCAGACTCAGCCACAACACTTCCCCACCCCGACTCACTGAGATTCACACTCGCCCAGACCACTCAAGGAATTAGCCGCAAACGCGCTCTCACTCATACGCATTCAAACTCTGCCACTCCGACACGCTCTTCTTCAGTCAAGCTTTTGTGGTGGGCCACCGCTCATCGCAATATAGAAGGCGTCGCGTTTTGGGCACCCTAAAAAAGGGTGCCGCCAGGGGAGGGGGCACTCCAGGAGACTCGCTCAGATTGTGGGGACGTCTCAGGCGGTTTGCTTGTTGCTGCCTCGGATGTTTTCCTTTTTGTGGTCCCTGCTCACCGCGAGATCGCAGGCGTGACATTTGGGCACCTCAAGAGGGAGCCGCCAGTGGTGGGGACGCTCCGTGCCTCGCGCCCAAAATGGGGGGATGTCCCAAGCGGTTCGCATGCTTGTGCCTTTCGGTGGTGCAGTGCCCACTGCGATTTAGCAGGCGTGGCGTGTGGGCACCCTATGGAAGAGCCGCCAGGGTGGGGGGACACGCCAGGGAGTCGCGCTCAGTTTGGGGGGGCATCTCAGGCGGCTTCCTTGTTTCAGCCCCGCACGCTTCTCTCCTTTGGTGGTGCAGTGCTCACCGCGATAAAACAAGCGTGTCATTTGGGCACCCACAAAGGAACCGCCAAGGGTGGGGACATTCCGGGATTCGCGCCCAAATTGTGGTCTACCTGCTTCTGCCATCCCAGGCTTCACTGTTTCGGTTGCCCAGTGCGATGCAAAACGCGTAACATTTGGGCACCTCCAGGAAGGGAGGCGCCACGTGTGGGTACACTCCAGGATTTGCTCCCGAATTGTGGGGATGCGTCCATCGGTTTGTTTGTTTCTGCCCCTTGTTTTGGTAGCACGCATTGCGTTTCGGCACCCCAAGGCCGCCACGGGTGGGGACACTCCAGGATTCGCATCCAGATTGTGGGGATGTATCACGCGATTTGCCTGTTTTTGCCGCCCGTACATCGTTTTCGCCCTGGGTGATTCAGTGCCCGCCGCGGCATCAGAATCGTGGCACTTGGGCACCCCCACGGCGGAACCGCCTGGGTTGGGGACGCTTCAGGATTCGCGCCCACATTGTGGGGATGTCTTCAGCAATTTGCCTGTTTCTGTTTGGCAACCATCTCTTTGGACTTGTGTGCTCCTCACTCACTCAATCATCCATTTGCCTCCCCATATTCCGCATTCGGACGCGTTCATTCGCATTCGGACTTGCCCACCAACACGTTTTTATCATTCAAGCTTGCTCCAATTTAGTCATGTTCAAATTTAAACATACCTGCATCCGCTTAAACCTGCCGCTCATATTTAGACAATACCCAGTCGCACCCCGACCAACATACGCACACACACACGCACACTCAAACCCACTCGCATTCAGACTCACCCGCCCTCAGACTCATGCGTGTTCAGACCACCTCGCGCCCAGGCTAACTCATACTCGTAACTGCATTCGTCGCACTCAAACTAAAACTCTTCCACCGTCAGACCCACTCACACCCAGACCCACTCGTATTTGGACTCGCTCGCATTCAAAAGTGCCGAAAAAAAGGGCCCCAATAGAACCCCAAGACGGCCGAAAATGGCCCGATGACAGCCCAAGAGGCTCCTGGGACGGCCTAGCAAGACCCCGAGGACGGCCCGCGCAGGCCAGACGCACTCATACTCAGACCCACTCGTACTGAGACTGACTATCTCCTGATTCAGGCACATTCAGGCTCTACCGTGCACGGATCCATTCGCATTCCGACTCGCTCATTCTCAGATCGCCCACGCTCAGAGTCACTCGCACTCAGGCTCGTACACCAACTGCGACCGCGAACCAGCCAAAGTGGCACTAGGGCGCCCCAAGTGCCAACAGCGCGCCGCGACTAGCACGCCAGAGAGCGGGCGTAACAACGCCATGCGCGTTTGCCTGGATTGCCGCGGGGGGAACGGCAAGAGGAATTCCCCTCGCTTGTCAAATTGTATTTCCCTCGTCTCTCCTGAAAGATGTCCAAAAGAGGAGGACGTCGCTGAAGTCGTCGTTGTTGCCGTCGTCCTCGTTGCCACGCCTGCCGTCTGCGCGGACTCGCGCGCGCACCCAAATGCTCATAGACAGAATTCCTCAGTGAAACGTGACATGAACATGATATGCATATCTGCAGATCCCGGCGTCCCGAGGCCCGGCGAAGACCCCTGGAGGCCGAAAGCCTCCCGTCGTGATTTTTCCACGGCGCGAACATGCCTGGGGTCCTTGCTCCAGTGCCTGCCTTAGACAAGTGCGCTTCACTACTCGACGCGGGGGGTGTACGATCCAACACAACGAAACGAACATTTTTTTGTTCTTGCTTATCTCTGGACGCTTGCGAATAGGCACTCTGTGAATAATGGAACGCGCTCGGCGATGATATGCATATCTGGGGATCCCCGCGTCGAGTAATTGACGGTCCCAGGGCTCAGCGAGGACCACTTGAGGCCGAAAAACTCCCGTCGTGATTTTCCACAATTAGGCTTGCCTAAGGGGTTCTTACTTGGTTAGAAGTTGGTGCCTCGTATTCGTACGATGCCCGTTGCTTGGAGGTTCCCTGGATTCTTCGCCCCCTGTGCCTCCTATTGCTACTTTGCCCGTTCCCTCGGGGGGTTCCCCAGGTTCCCCGACCCTGGTGCCTCATGCCAAACCATGCCGAGCCATGCGCCCACGCAGGAGGAAGCTCTCCCTTTGATTGGGGTCGCGCCAAGGTCACCGGATCTCTCCTGACCTCCGAAGTTGAGCGGCGCAGGGCCCGCTTAGTCCTGGGGTGGGGGACCGCCTGGGAAGACCTTCGGGTGCTGTCAGCTTTAGCGCAGCCCAGGGTCGCAGCGCGACGTCGCTTCGCGCAGCCCTGCCGCTTTCACGGGGCGAACACGCCTGGGGTCCTTGCTCCGCCCCGCTCCGACCTCGGGGTCCTTGCTCCGACCCCGAGGAGGAGGAGGAGGAGGAGGAGGAGGAGGAGGAGGAGGAGGAGGAGGGGGGGAGGGGGGGGAGGAGGAGGAGGAGGAGGAGGAGGAGGAGGAGGAGGAGGAGGAGGAGGAGGAGGAGGAGGAGGAGGAGGAGGAGGAGGAGGAGGAGGACGAGGAGGAGGAGGAGGAGGCGCGGCCCGGCCTGCGTCGGCCGTGCCGCACGCCGCGCAGGTGCGCACGGGCCTCCGGGGCGCGCGCCCGCCCGCCAAGACCCGAGTGCGCGGCCGCGCCGCGCCGATGGGGTCTGCCGGCCCGGTGGGCGCGCCGAGGGCCGCTCCCCGCTCGTCGGCGCCGAGCTCTCTCTCGCCGTGGAGCTGCCCCCCGACGACGACGACGACGACGACGAGGACGAGGACGAGGACGAGGACGACGAGGACGAGCTCGAGGACGAGGACGACCCCTCCCTCTCCCTCTGCGGTCCACCCCCGCGCTCCTCCTCGCGCCTCTGCTGGCTGGGATGGCGGCCCCACCAGCTCTCAGGGGGCAGCCCAGAGCGAAGGTTCCTTGCGACCCCCCCCCCACGCCCGAGGGCACGCCGAGGCCGGCCATCCGTGCGAGGCTGGCCCAGGGCGGGTCTGCGCGTCTGTTTCCGCCTGCCGAGCCCTCGCTCGCCCCCCTCCGTCGGGAACCGTGCGCCACTGCTGAGAACTCACTCCGCCCTCCTTTTACCCCCTCCGCCCCACCTCCTCTTCGAGGGCCGCAGCTGGACATCTTTTTGTTCTCTGCCCGGTCCGCCCGTTCCTCGTCGGCCGTCCATTCGGCTCTCGCCTCCTTCTCTCGTCGTTCCCGCCACCGTCGCCTCAGCCTGGCGGGGACAGAATGTTCGAAGCGGCGTCAACAATTTATCTACGCCTGGAGGTGGTGGCCCGACGACGAGCAGAGCGGAATCAGTGCCAACGTGCACGGCACCTTTAATATCCAGCGGATTGAACTCATGAGATAAGCGCTTAGGCGCCATCAACTAAGGAGTCCGCCAGCCCCCCTTGAGGGGCCATCGTGCTGAGCGAGTGAGAGCTACGGGCACAGCTCGCCATCTTTCGGTGCGAGCGCTCATGTCCTGCGTTGTCGTGAGAGGGCGCGACACTCCTCGGCCCACGGAGTTTATTTTCCTCATCAGTTTCCCTCAGCGCGTGTTACCTCACCTCGCGCGGCTCTCCGAATAGCGACGTGTCTCTTCGCAGCCCCTTCAAGCCCTGGAGCGCGCAAGAATGATAGAACCCGCGAACCCAAAGAAGATCGATCTGCCCCCAAGCGGGCTCCTCCTCCCCTTGCTTATTCTTCTTTTCCTCCTCCTCCTCCTCCTCCTCCTCTTGTTCATGCTCCTCCTCCCCCTCCTTTTCCTGCTCCGCGCCCGAATTCACTCAGCAATTCAATCCGAATTCGCCGGCCCAACGGGCCAGGGCGTGCTAAGATCTCCGGTACCTGGTTAACAGTATTTCTAGTTCGCGCGCGCGGGGCGGCCCCTGGGGGTCCCCGGACGAAAAGTACCCCGGCAAGGTCCCGGCAAGTCCCCGGCAAGGTCCCGGCAAGGTCGGGTCAGAGATGCCGGAGTTCTGTTTCGGAGTCCAAGAGGGCTCCAGATCGGTCCAAGAGGGCCCCGAGAAGCTTTCTAGACGGTCCAAGAGAGGCCCGAGACGGCCAAAGATCGCCCGAAGACGCCCCAGATGGCCCCAAGACAGCCCAAGAGGCCTCCAAGACGCTCCAAGGGCCTTCCAAGAGGCCTCCGAAGAGGGCCCCAAGTTGCCAAAATCGTTGATTTTCATTGGTTTTTTCGATGTTTTTTTGCGTTCTGGCCTTTTCGCTTCCGGACGCTCCAAGAGGGCCCAAGAGGCCTTCAAGACTGCTCCAAGACGGCCCACGAGGCTCCCAAGACGGCCCCGGAGCGGCCCAAGAGCGCCCCCCAGACGGCCCAAGTGCTGCCCAAGGCGGACCAAGAGGCCCCAAGACGGGCCCAAGAGGGGCTCAAGAAGGGAACCGAGAACTGAAAAATCGAGCCCTCCGCCCCAGAAGGCGCCCAGGACCCCGAAAGAGGCCCCAAGAGACTCTCCAAGACACCCCCAAGACGCCCCAATAAGCTCCCGTGAGGCCCCAAGAGGACCAACAACGTCAGGCCCCAGGCCCCAAGAGGACCAACAAATACCGCCAAGAGCCCGCCGAAAGCCCCCCAAGAGACCGTCACGAGAGCTCAGGAGGCCCCCTGGAGGCCTCCCGAGTTCTCCAAGAGGCCTAAAAAGAGGCGCCAAAAGGCCCCAAACGGCCCCACCGAGGCTCCAAGAGGCCACGAACGCGCAAGCAAACGCCTGCGATGGCACAATACGGGCCGGCGGAATGAGCGAAGCGATTAAATAAAACTAGCGTGCCGTTGTCGTCGTCCCCATCCTCCCCTCCTCCGCGCCCGAACTCACTCAGCAATCACATCCGAATTGAACTAGCGTGCCGTTGTCGTCGTCCCCATCCCCCTCTTCTCCTCTCCCTTGCCTCCTCGCCCTTTCCCCCCGCAGAGTTTGGGTGGCACTCTCTGCTGCTCCTCTCCCACCGGCTCCGCGTCCAGGGTGACCTTCGCCAAGGGCGATCTGGTCTTAGGTGCGCTGCTTTTCGGGGCGCGCTGCCCCCCTCGAGCATGGAGCACCACCTCCCCAGGACGCCCTTGGATGCCCTCGATGGGGTTCCCCTGGACGCCATTCAGCCTAGCACCAGCGGTCACCCTGCCGAAGATGCACCCTTGCATGCCGTCGGGCGCTCCAAGGCAGCGTCCTGGCAGGTACCTTCGAGCGCTGCGCTCAGTCTGAGAGGCGTGCTGGCAGGTACCGCCGACGCCTCCGCCTCTTCCCTCCCTTCCCTCGCGCGCCCCGCTGGGATGGGCAACGCGCCCCCGTCCTGCTCTCCTGACCCTCCCCTGGAAGCCCAGGCCCCGCGGCAAGCCTCGAAGCGGTCCCCGCGGCCGTCCCCGCGGCGGCGCCGGCGTCGGCGCGGGCGGTGGAACAGCAGCGGCCGCAGAGGCGCCTCGGCGAGGCCACGGGGATGCCCGCTCGTCCTAATGCCGCCTTGCTCGCCGCGTTCGCCTCCTCCGCTTCCTGCTCGCCTCGCTTCGATGCTCCCCCCCCTCCGCCCCATCCTCGCGCCCCTCCTCCTCGCGCAGGATCATGGTCGAATCGGGCCGAAAAAGGACACCTTCCAGCGGGAGGAGAAGGGCGAGGCACTTTTGGGCACCCCGCAGGCCCAGCCAGATGTCGGGTCCTGCGGCAGGTAGGCCTGCCAGTGGCAGCGAGGAGCTAGGGGCCAAACCGAAAACTGCCAAGAAACTGGAAACGAACATGGTTGGATTCACATAGGAGGAGGGGGGAAGGGGGGGGAGTAGGAGGAGGTGGAGGTGTAGGTGGAGGTGGAGGAGGAGGAGGAGGAGGAGCCGGAGGAGGAGGAGGAGGAGGAGGAGGAGGAGGAGGAGGAGGAGGAGGAGCAGCGAGGAGGAGGAGGAGGAGGAGGAGGAGGAGGAGAAGGAGGAGAAGGAGGAGGAGGAGGAGGAGGAGGAGGAGGAGGAGGAGGAGGAGCATGCGGAGGCCACGCGCTGAATACTCGTGCGGAAGCCCGGCCTGCCTGTCCGCAGAGGGGCTGAACGCTGGACCTACATATTAACCCACATGCATGCCCAGCTCTCGCCACGGCCGGCCGCGTCCTGTGCATGCAGCTTCCTGGTGTTTGGCTGGGCCTGCCAGAGGGCGGGCCACAAATAGTGACGCCCACCCGAAGAGCGGCATCGCGTCGCAACGCCGGGGCACCTCCGACGTTCTGCCTCCAAGGGCCCAGGGCCGAGCTGGCCCCGCGGAGCGGCCAACCAGGCAGGTTGCCCAGAGCGAAAAGCTCCCATGGACCACACGCGATCAGTTCGGAGGGGGCCCTGCAGGCTCCCCTGGCAAGCCAAAGATAGGCTTTGCCATGCAACATAATCGGGGAATACAAGTTGGGGGCAAGGAGCCGGTCTCGCCAACCCTGCAAGGAACAAACTAGGGTGGGTAAACGCCCGGATCATGTTGCAGGTGCCAAGCCGTCACCTCTCATTCGCAACGGCCCGTGCAGAGCTAGAGGCTCCTCGAGCCTGGGCAACCGACTCAAATAGCAAGCTGGCAAGAACGGAATCTGGGCGCCCTGCTCAGCCCAGCGGCACATCCAAAAATGCCATGTGCCCGTGTCCGTCTTCAGAGCTGGCCACTTGAGGGTGCCGTAGGTTTTACACTTGGGCGGATCTACTTCCAGCTCGTGGCAATGAGGACACAACGGTTTCTGGGCACCGTCTTATCGCTGGCCACCTGTCTGGAACACAGCGGAGTTCTTGCGCGCCCTGGCTGCAACGTATTCGGTCTATTCGAAGGCTTCGTTCGGCGGGGAGACTCGGCCCAAATACTTTCTACACGTCCAACCGAAGCGCGAACTGCAGAGCATTCTGCCCTTGGCCAGCCAATCCAGCGTGACCGAGTGGCAGTCGGTGCAATCGGGTTTTCCTGCTGCTGTGCGAAAGGCCGAAAATACCGCGCAACGCCCGTTGCCGTACTTAGTTCAAGCGGCCGTCCATCTGCGCATTCTGGAATTGGCGCAAACTTGTGTGGCAACATCATAGAAAGCAACACGTCCTCGTCGTCGCTGGACGGTGCGGGGGTTGCTTAGCTTTTGTGCGATACCATGGAGCTTCGCCTCCATCTGGGGCACGAGAAACTTAACCTGGGCGCGACATCTTTTGATAATCGCAATCGGTATACACTGGCGCTGCTGGAGAACGTGATGCCTGGCGCTGCAACAACGAGGAATGAGCTGTCCGTGCATCACGAATACACGGGTATATATGGGATTGGAATGGCAGATTTGAGAGATAGGACACATGCTTTTGCCTTCTCGGGCGAAAGAAAAAATGACGACGCATGTTGCCTCGACTGTCGTTGTACACTGACGCTTTCTATTGGCAATGCAGCGGCTGAGCAGGCGCGGCCGCGTCTCGCCACAACATCATTCACTGTGTCCTTCCCGCGGGTGCTACATTCGAAATCGCGAGGGGGGAGGAAGACAAGGCCGCTCAAGAACAATGGGTGCCAGTTCTGTGCTCAAAAGCAAGGCGCCTGTGAAACCACTGCAACAAACGCGTAACGCGTCTGCGACCATCTATGGAGATCCACGGACAATAGGAAACCAATCACAAATGAGCGGTCGCGGTGGCCCTGGGAGGCCACGAAAGGCATGCCGTCATGCACCAAGATCTCACAATTTTGCAAAGTAGTATGGTCCATTCGGTAAGTCCCACCAGCCCTTTGGGCGTGAGTGGTTTAGAGAGCTCTCTCTCTGTCCTCAACCCCCCTTCTTCCCCTTCGGGGAGGGGTTTACCCCTCCCCCTACCCCCTCCCCCTGGACCTGGACAGGGAGTCCGGGGTGGTGGCAGGGGGGTCTTTTTCGACTCCTGGGAGGGCCAAAAAACGACGACCCTCACGAGGATTCTGGCCCCGACGGGGGGGCCGAGTTTGGCCCCTCTCCTCTTCTTTGAAGCCAGAATCATTGATTTTACTACGGTTTTGGCCCCATTTTGGCCTCCTGATGGGGGCCGCGCTCATCTTCCTTCATAGCAGAATCATTGATTTTACGAAGGTTTTGGGCTCATTTTGTCCTTCTCAGGGGGCAGCGCTCCTTTGCGCTTCAGAGGAGGTCGCAAGAGGCCCCAAGATGGCCCCAAGAGGCCCCCAGGAGGCCCCCAACAGGCCCCAAGAGGCCTCCAAGAGGTCCCCACGAGGCCCCCAAGAGGCCCAAGAGGCCCCAAGAGGCTCCCAAGAGGCCCCCAAGAGGCCCCCAAGAGGCCCCCAAGAGGCCCCAAGAGGCTCCAAGAGGCCCTTAAGAGGCCCCACGAGGAGCCCGAACGACTCACACCAGGACGAGGGGCCCGAACGACTCACACCACGCAGAGCCCGAACGACTCACACCACAAGGAGGGGCCCGAACGACTCACACCAGGACGAAGAGCCCGAACGACTCACACCACGAAGAGCCCGAACGACTCACACCAGGAAGAAGGGCCCGAACGACTCACACCAGGACGAGAAACCCCAAACGACTCAAATCACGAGGAGCGCTTTCTCTCCCTCCTCCTCCGCCTCGTCCTTCTCCCGCTCCCCCCACAAGGAGGATGTACAAGGAGGCGGGAGGAAGGAGGAACACGCCTGAAAAACACGACTGTCGGCATGCTTCGCAAGAGTTGCTGCTGTGAGATGGGCTGGTGGGGATACGCGAAGCGTAAAGAATTTCTTCGAGTCTGTACTCGATGATGACTTGTGCACAAGCTTAGCGTGAATAATCATCATTCATGAACCGATGAACTTCCGTTTTTCATTACTGCTTCATCGCTTGTGATGTTAGCGGTCCCGGTCTCACTTCGTGTAGGGCTGCAGTGGTGGGATAACGATCATATCAGAACTGCGTGCTGAAGCCGACGTCTCCGCTGAGGAAGTGGACCGTGCCTGTTGTCAATGTGATATGCAATATGCGTCACGTAGGTGCACGACTGCAGAGTTGTCTTTGAGCACGTGGCCGCACCGCGGGAGGTTTGTCCCTCGGTTGCCATATTCCTTCTTGTCATCCTCGGCATCTCCAATCCGTCTGCGGTGTCTGGAATTACTGTGTATACCAATCCTGTCGGTGACATAGCCTGGGCTCTCATTTTCAAACGTTCGGTCAGAGTTCGCGTATAACCGCAGTCAGCCGTTTGAGCAACAATAGATAACGTGCAGTCGTCAGAGTCGGCGTGAGCAGGCACCTCTGTTTCTGCGCACGGCCGCGCACGGCCGCGCCGCACGGCCGCACGGGCTACCAACATGTTCTCGAAACTTTGTCGTACCCTCGCCGAAACCAACAAGTGGTCGGGATGCTTGAGGCGCTGGAGTACTATACTCCAGCGCGCTTGCGTACCCAAGATGCTCAACGCTGTGCCGTTAGTTTTGTAGTAATGAAACCAAGCTTTCACATCGTTGTCGTAGTGTGCCAGTGCGCAGCTGTCAGCGCGGGGAAACTCAGGCACATTTGTTGGCCAACCGCACTGCTACTATGTGTTTGATCCTGAAGTCATTAGGTATCAGGAATTGTAGTGCTAGGTGCGCCTTCCGTGATTGCTTGCAACCCGCGGTCTTTTGCAGTTTGCCTTGTGAATCAGGGGGGTGAGCGGAGGTGAAAGCAAATATCCCCGCCAAATCGTCCGTGCCTGTTTCTCGTGTGCGTAATGCTTCCACGCATGATGTAAGCCGTGAGTCGCTGTGCTGGACAATGACCTCGCGGTTTCCCGCCTGAGCCACAACTTGTCCCCTTTCGGGTTTGTTCCGAACGACCGGGCGAGGCCCGTTCCATCCGCCGTGGTCAAGGTTGGTAGTAGTAACTCTGTGGCGATCCACATGCTCGCCTGATGGGGGGAAGCGTCGACCTGGAATCTGCGATGCATCGCCGCCATGGCGGCGAACGAATCTGCGCGTCACTTGGCGGGCTATCGGGCAGCGATCGGCGATCAGTGGGCGATTGGGGTCCATGCGCCCCCTCCTGAGCCCCCACCGCCTCAGTAACGTCGCCCCTGGAGAGCACTGGGGCGTCTCGGGTGCGTCCTGGCGCTCTGGGGGCGGTCGGCTCCGAGTCCAGATGCCTGGTGATGGGGCCGTCGATGCGAAGTTTCCCAGCGAGACGCCAAAAAACGTTGTAAGCTCGGCTGCGCCTTGGGCCGGGGAAGTGGGGCTGCTGCGCGCGGTCGTGGCGTGTGGCGGCTCTCCGGGCCAACCGACTGATGGATGGCCGCGGGGCCGCCCAGGCGCGTCTCGCAGCTGTCTTGGGCGCCGTCGCGAAGTGGTCGCGTGGCGGTCTTGGGCAGGGCCTCCTCGGCCGTCGCGTGGAGCCATTTTCTTGGGCGGCCTGGGGCAGAATATGCTGCGCCCAGGTGCCGCCGCCGCCGCCGAGCCGAGCGCCCGAGGGGGCGCGCGGGCGGAAGAGCGCGCGAT